AAGATTCTTTTACATCTGAGATTTAACCCCAAAAAAGTGTTAAATTTCTCCCTATGTCTAGAAATTATATGACCTTTGAAGCTCTCAAATTTAATTGTATTTTATTTTTTTACTTTGGCTACTAGGGAGCTCAGATACCTTTAGGTGACCACTATTATAAACTGCAGAGAAGCACATGGTTTACATTTCTTTTTTGTTTGTTTGTTTTTGTTTTTATTTTTCGCTGTGTTGGGTCTTTGTTGCTGTGTGCGGGCTTTCTCTAGTTGCGGCGAGCAGGGGCTACTCTTCGTTGCAGTGCGTGGACTTTTCACTGTCGTGGCTTCTAGGCGTGCAGGCTTCAGTAGTTGTGGTGCATGGGCTTAGCTGCTCCTCAGCATGCGGGATCCTCCCAGGCCAGGGCTCAAACCCGTGTCCCCTGCATTGGCAGGTGGACTCCCAACCACTGCACCATCAGGGAAGCCCATGGTTTACATTTCTGCATAGAAATCTTACTACTATATTCTTCCTGAATTTTGCCTTCACCCTGATCTACTTGACTATGTGGGGTTTTTTTGTTTTGTTTTGTTTTTGTTTTTTTTATTTTTGCCTGTGCTGGGTCTTTGTAGCTGCACGTGGGCTTTCTCTAGTTGAGACAAGCAGGAGCTACTCTCCGTTGCGGTGCACGGGCTTCTCATTGCGGTGGCTTCTCTTGTTGCAGAGCATGAGCTCTTGCCGCTCCGGCTTCAGTAGTTGCAGCATGTCGGCTCAGTAGTTGTGGCGCACTGACTTAGTTGCTCCGCCACATGTGGGATCTTCCTGGACCGGGGATCAAACCCGTGTCCCCTGCATTGGCAGGCGGATTTTTAACCACTGGACTGCCAGGGAAGTCCTGACAATGTGTTTTTAACTTTTGTATTCAATGTATTTCTAAGCCGCTTCACATCTTTTGTATAAGGATATTGGGAATAGAATAAATTAAAAATAATTAGAGAAATAACTTAATTTCAACAAATACCATTGTTATCAATAAAATATTTATTGACTCTCCACACTAGCACTATTCAAAATTCTGCATGCTCCTGTACTTTTTTTTTTTTTGCGGTGCGCGGGCCTCTCACTGTTGTGGCCTCTCCCGTTGCGGAGCACAGGCTCCGGACGCGCAGGCTGAGCGGCCATGGTTCACGGGCCCAGCCGCTCTGCGGCATGTGGGATCTTCCCGGACCGGGGCACGAACCCGTGCCCCCCGCATCGACAGGCGGACTCTCAACCACTGCGCCACCAGGGAAGCCCACTCCAGTACTTCTTAATGTTGCTGCCTGGCCAAGGGTCCCAAGAATTCTTGTCATCAGGTTTTCATACTCTTTTTCCCCTTTCTTGTGTGTAGCACAATCAGATATGGAATAGGGTGGCTTTTATCGTCTATTGCATTTGCAACATCAAGAAAAGAATGGGGTTCTTTTCCTTTTCTCTTTAAGGATGGCATCTCGGAAGTATCTTTCCCTGCTCTCAGTCCTCCTTCTGGTCCTCTCCACCAATCTCCACGACAGCCCTGCTCATTGGCTATTGTTGTTTTGGGATTCTCCTGCAAGGATCACAGGAGCCAGTCTCCTGCCATGAGAAGCAGATGACTCTACTGCGATAGGCTGGGACCTGGGACCCTTTACCAGAGTGCTCGTCCCTGGACAAACATCTCCTTGAGCAACAGAATTCAAAGAAACTATAAGGGACTAAAAATAACTGCAAGCATGCACAGTTGGGGCGATTATGAACAAGAGGATACAAAAAGGCCACAAACCAACTGCCACTTCTGAGGTGCTGGGAGCAAAAGCAGGGTATTGCGCGTGCTCCATAGGCACGGCACTGCCAAGTGGGTGGGCAGACCCCCTAAGCTACACCTCCTGCCCAACCCATGGACCTGCCCCCGCTCGTTACCGCATTTAAGGACCCAAGCAGCTCCTTTCTGGAGCAAACAAGGGCAACTGTTACTTACTTTCTTTCCCTCACGCTGCAGCACAAGCCCCAATAAAGACTTGCCTGAAATTCTCGTCTGGCCTCTTATCAATTTCTATTGATTAAAGAGTACAAGGGGGGCTTCCCTGGTGGCGCAGTGGTTGAGAATCTGCCTGCCAATACAGGGGACGCGGGTTCGAGCCCTGGTCTGGGAAGATCCCACATGCTGCGGAGCAACTAGGCCCATGAGCCACAACTACTGAGCCTGCGCGTCTGGAGCCTGTGCTCCACAACAAGAGAGGCCGCGACAGTGAGAGGCCCACGCACCGTGATGAAGAGTGGCCCCCGCTTGCCGCAACTAGAGAAAGCCCTCACACAGAAATGAAGACCCAACACAGCCAAAACAAAATAAAACAAAAATAAACAAATGTGGGGTTTAAAAAAAAAAAAAAAGAGTACAAGGGCCTGGGTCAGTAACACTTCTGTTACAAAGAAGAACAAACCTGACTCCATATTGAATCTATTCCTTTAGCTCTAAACTTTGTGCCCTGTTGCCTGTGCTTAGTCATGCTGGCTCTGCACCTTTGTAAGAGAACGTTACCTGTAGCCTGAAATGTGCATGATGGCCCATTCTCAAAACGTCTGCTTTATCAACTTCTGTCATCATCTTATCCTTCCATTCAATCATTCTCTCCTTCACTGACATTCCTGTGCTAGTCCTTATTCTAAGCACTATGGTGAAAGAGGAGGCTGGTTTTGTAGGCAATCTAAGGTTTCATCATTGGAATCTAATACAAAGTGGATGAATTAGTACTGATTAGCATTTCACAGGCGAGACAGCCATGGGACAGTCATCTCTCCACTCCCTCCTTTTTCCTTTTGAGCTTCCTGTCCTTCAGATCATGTCCCTACTTCTGATTTGAGGAATATTTTTTCTAAGAAGGAATATTTCTAGCTCCCTGATCAAGTACGTTCTTGCCATAGTCTCCTCACTGCATTAGTCACTTCTTGATTCCTTATGCTATAGACCAAGGGGTTCAGCACTGGTGAGAAAAAGTTGTAGGCAACAGACACTGCCTGGCCCTCTTCTGGGGAGTAGCTGGAGCTGGGGCACAGGTAGATAAGGGTACAACACACATACTGCAGGAAAACCACCATGAGGTGGGAGGAACTAGTGGAGAAGGCCCGGCGCCTTCCCTGGGTTGACTCCATCCTCACGATGGTGGCCACAATGCAGCCATAGGAGAGGCAGATAAGGAGCAAGGCAATGGCCACAGCGGCCACACTGATGGCATAGAGAGCTGCCTCGTGCCTGTGGGTGTCTGCACAGGCCAGGCATATAACGGCAGGTGTGTCACAGAAGAAGTGATAGATTTCACTGTGGCCACAGAATGAAAGGTGGCAGATCAGAATGGTCAAAGGCAGCACCAACAGGAATCCCAGACCTAGAGAACCTAAAGTCTTCTGCCCACAGAGCTGCCAACTCATGATGAGGTTGTAATGCAATGGACGACAGACTTCCACGTACCTGTCATAGGCCATGACAGCAAGAAAGACACAGTCAGATTCCCCGAGAAGGATGGAGAAGAACATCTGGGCTCCACAGCCAGGGAGAGAGATAAGCATCCTCCCCATGGAAAGGACGCCAGCCAGAGTCAAGGGAGCAATGTTGGTGGAGTAGCCAGTCTCCAGCATGGCCAGTGCAAAGAGGAAGAAGTACACTGGGGTATGGAGGGAGTGTTCTCACCAGAGCCCAGTGGTGACATTTCCAATGAGGCTTCCTGGGTACAACAGCAAGAAGGCCATGAATATGAGGGCCACCACTGCCTGGTCTGTTGAGAAGGGGTGGAAGTGGAAATGGACCACTCCCGTCTGGTTGTGCTCTTCCATTAGCCCTGGTACCAGGAAGGACATCATGGGCAAAGTGATCCTCCTGTGTCCTCGAGCCTGCTTGTGTTAGAAGCACAGTTTGCAGTCATTGATTCCTTACCTTCATTGCTCCTTTTGGAGTTCGGTTAAGGTGATCTTGCCTCCTGCACTGCTTAATCTACTAGCTGTGTGACCTTGGAGAAGTTATGGACATCAGCGTTCCCCTTTTAAACATGGGAAGGGTGTGACACACACCTCGGAGAGGTGGTGTCTGAGAGTGTCATGCCCCATGCCAGCCATGCAATAGAACGGTTCTCAACAGCGTTTCCTTCCAATTGCATTTTTTCCTTGATCTCTATTCCTCTGTTGTTGTTTTTTTTTAAAGCAAACCTTCCTGAACATTCTCATGCCTCTTCATTACTATGATTGTCCAATCACCCCCAGGACACCTTAAAAGTACATATTTGTACAAAGAGCATATGATTCTCATATCAACCCTAAAAGGCTGGCAACACAGGTGTTTCCTTTACCTGTTTTACAAAGGTGGAAACCAGAAGCCCAGATAAGTTAAACAGCTCACTCTGCTATCCTCCCCATTCCCAAACTCGCAATTTTGGTATCGTATTTTTTGGTTTTGTTTTTTTTTTCTTAAACTTTGAACAATCCAATTTTGTTCTGTTTTGTTTTACCAAATACTAACCCTACTCTTGTTTTACCTTCTTTCTCATATCTGCCTTCATTTGCATTATTGGGGTGTCCACCCTAAATAAGGCTTTCATCTCCTCATGTTTAGCTCACTGCCCACCAACCCAACTTATCATACTTTTAGATTAACCTCTCTTCAACACTTTTAAAATTATATTACTCTACTCTGACCCTAAACTTAAAAAGCAAAGGAACCTCAAATATATTAGTCAATTATACCTCGATAAAACTGAAGAAAAAATAATAAAGGAATCTCTTATTCTTGTGATATCACATACAATTATCACAAAATAATTTTATAAGTGAAACTAGCATAACTTACCTGGGGTATAACTTCAGGAAATCCCCCAATGACCAAAATCCACTGTCCCATCTCACCCACCACACCTTTGCTCTAAATCGCTCAGTCCTTATGCACGACTCTTAAATTTTCTTTTAATTTGCTGCAAGGTAGACTTGCACATACGCAAACATACTTTCTTGTGTTTATGGATTACCTTTTCAATGATATTCAAACAGCCGAAGGTAGCAGCCTACAGAAGGGTCTTTGCATTGATCTTTTCAGGGGGATTCTCAGAGAGGCTGGGCCATGCCAAAAACACTTTCCTGCTAAAATAGAGGGGCAGGGCCAAAAACATATGCAAATTAGAACGTTCAACCACCATTGTTTTTTTGGTGTAACAAGTGAACCAAGTTTTACCATTGTGTTTTCTTTTGGTTTAGTTGTTAACAATGATCCCCAGCGCTGGCAACATTGTGGACAAACGAGCATTACCAAGCTCGCTGGTGGAGAGGTGAGAGGTTCAACACTTTAGGAAAATAATAATATTTTTAAATGCTCATGTTTTGTCAAAATATTGACAGTTTTCCAAGGTGAGTAATGCATACCTAAGTATTCATAGTACTAACCTCTTAATTTGTGTAGATTTGAAATTTGCCAAATAAAAAATTAGCATTTGAGTTTAGTTATCACACTTCGGGAGTCTAAAATTAGAAATTAATCTGAAATTAGAATGACAATTGCAACAACAAAAACCTTTATATACAAGGTAAAAATCATAGCATAATTTTAATAGGGAATAATGAAGACAACTTAATACGGAATGCTAGATTCAGTTGATGAAATACTATGCAATTGTTTAAAGTTATATTTATAAAGACAATGTAATAACCTGAAGATATCTGTGATATAATACTAAACAGAAAATGAGATTTTCAAAATGAGGATCACCACACTGTAGAAAGAATGCACTCTGAGTGATGAGCCTGAAAAGTGTTTTTCCTGTTCTACGTTTTCTAATATTCTTTAATAAACATCAATACTCTTATCATTTTAATTAATTGCAAACTTATAACATGACAAAAGGAGAAACAAGCAGTGTCGTCCTCAAACTGTGGAGTACAATATTCTGCAAAATTTTAAAGCAAAATAAACAATTTATAAAGAAATTAAGAAAAAAGTTTGTCTAACCACAACTGGCCACTATATTTTCAATAAGAAAAGTGTCATTCCATGAATGCACAGCTTATCCTTCATTCAGGTAACTTATCATCAATCACCCCTGGAATGGAACTGAAGGAAGTTTATTTTTCTGGCCAGGCTGCTTTCCCGGAATGCCTACTGCAGAACAATCCCTGTGCATCGGCTATTCTATGGAAACACCTGAACCGAAGCCGTCATGGCCAGAAGCACCAAGCACCTCAAAGGAAAGTGCTGATTTGGAAGCTTGAAACTGGCTCTTTCACACTTGGTACATGGTCAACACATTCCTTTCACTCTACCCTGTTCACTCTTGAGTTATTTGTGTATATGCCTGTCTCCCTGGCTGCACATTGCACTATTAGCATCTTTGAGGGCAGCTTCTATATTTCGTTTGCCTTAACACACATACTCACACATAATTTGCATATAGTAAATGCAACTCAATTTTTTAAAAATAATGAAGCCAACTTGACAAAGCCTAGTATCCTGAGTCACAGCAGGGAAAACTATAAAACAAAATAAAACTAAAATGCCAGCTAACGGGTATTGAGTGCCTCTTAACGTCCACTGCATTGCAAATAATAATGACTGACATTTATTGGGTGTCAGGGACTATTCCAAGCACTTTATGCCAATTAACTCATTTGCACCTCAAAATAAACTTATGAGGTAGGAGCCATTATGGTCCTTATTTTACAGATGAGAAAAACCAAAGCACAGACTCCAACCCTGGCCAAATACTGCAGGCTGTACACACTTAACCACTACTCCGTGTTGGCTTGCCATGAACATGTCCTCATAGTTGTCTCCTTTGCAGGCTTCAGCTTTGTATGTATGGACTTGGGGAAGAATAATGATTTGCTATATTCTGTCTAGAGGAGACAGTACATCATCTCCTAGTTGGGAATCTTTAAAAAAAAATTAGACACTTAATATTCCTACTGCTGGGAATTAATTCTAAAGAAGTCAAAGGGATGAAAAAGGTATTCATATAAAGCTATTTCTAGTAGTATTGTTTCTGTATCTAAAAGAAAGAAGCAGATCACACAACATATAGGGAACAAAAATATCTAACAGTTCTACAGTCATTAAATAATATAGTGTATGAATTCAGTGCATTAAAAGGCCTTCACTAAGACAAGAATGCAGAAGTAGTGGTGAAAACCTTAATGAGGAGGTAAAAGACCCATACACTGAAAACTATAAAACATTGATGAAAGAAATTAACTATGACACAAATAAATGAAATGATTACCCATGTTCATGAATTGGAAGAATTAATATTTTCAAGATGTCTGTGCTGCTCAAACTTATCTACAGATGCATGCAATTCCTATCAAGATTCCAACGGCATTTTTCACAGAAGTAGAAAAAATAATCCTAGAACTCAAATGGAAGGAACCAGAAAAGATCCCAGAGCAAAAGCAATCTTGAACAGTAAGAACAAAGCTGGAGATATCACACTTCCTGATTTTTTTTTTTTTTTTTAAAGAAGATGTTGGGGGTAGGAGTTTAGTAATTTATTTATTTATTTTTGCTGTGCTGGGTCTTCGTTTCTGTGCAAGGGCTTTCTCTAGTTGTGGCAAGCGGGGGCCACTCTTCATCGCGCTGCGCGGGCCTCTCACTATCGCGGTCTCTCTTGTTGCGGAGCACAGGCTCCAGACGCACAGGCTCAGTAGTTGTGGCTCACGGGCCTAGTTGCTCCCCGGCATGTGGAATCCTCCCAGACCAGGGCTCGAACCCGTGTCCCCTGCATTAGCAGGCAGATTCTCAACCACTGCGCCACCAGGGAAGCCCCTACACTTCCTGATTTTTAATTATAATACAAAGGTGTAGAAATTAAAATAGTATGATACTGGCACAAAAACAGACACATTGACCAATGGAACATATATACATTAGTCAGCCTAATAAAGAATGAAATCCTGCCATTGGTGACAGCAAGCATGAAGCTGGAGGAGATTATGCTAAGTGAAATAAGCTAGACAGAAAAATAAGTCGTGATATCACTTATATGTGGAAACAAAAAAAAAGTTGAACTCATAGAAACAGAGAGTAGAAGTGTGGCTACCGAGGGTCAGGGAGTAGGAGGAACAGGGAGATGCTGGCCAAAGGGTATAAGCTTTCAGTTATAAGATGAATAAACTCCAGAGACCTAATGTACAACATGATGACTAAATTGAAAAATAATGCATTGTATACTTGAAATTTTCCAAGCGAGTAGATATTGTGTCCTCAACACACACAAAGAAACAACTATATGAGATGAAAGTTATACTAACTAGCTTGAGCGTGGTAATCATTTCACAATGTACAACAAAATGCCACACTGTACACCTTAAATACGTACAAATTTTATTTGTCAGTTATACCTCAGCAAAGCTGAAAAATAAAATATTGAGCATAAGTTTTTGTATTGGAAGGAAGGTTGAAGAATTGGTAGCTCTTAACATTCTCTGCACCGTATGAATTTTACAGTGTTTTCTCCATAAACCCCGCAATAATCCTTTTAAAGCTAATAAAGTGCTATGTAACCTAATGAATACTGCACATGCATTATCTCATTCAATCTCCACAACTTCTCTATGAGACGGGAACATCACTCTCATTGCCCCTTTACAGATAAGGTCACCAAGGCTTCGACCATGTGATTAATGTACCCAAGGGCACACATATAGTCAGTGGCTGAGCCAAGGTTTGCATCCAAGTCTGTCTGAATTAGACCTACTCTTTTAACCGTTCTTATGTATTACCTTCAACCCCCAAGTTTTGAAAATTACTATCTGCCTAACTCTATCTTTTAAACAAACAAAAAACAAAGAGTAGTAGTAGTAATAATGATACATGTATAGGGCTTCCCTGGTGGCGCAGTGGTTGAGAGTCCGCCTGCCGATGCAGGGGACACGGGTTCGTGCCCCGGTCTGGGAAGATCCCACATGCCGCGGAGCGGCTGGGCCCCTGAGCCATGGCCGCTGAGCCTGCACGTCCGGAGCCTGTGCTCCGCAATGGGAGAGGCCACAACAGTGAGAGGCCCGCGTACCGCAAAAAAAAAAAAAAAAAAAGATACATGTATAGATGTATCCCAAGAAAATGTATGACATATGCTAGGGCTTTTGAAATATTAAAATTACCTTGAAAACTCCATTAATAACCTTGAAGGCCCTTTGAGATATGGAGATCCAAGATATGGTCACCCACTACATGACCTCTAAAATCCCTTCTAGTTCTATGATTTCATGAAAAACCTTAAAAAAATTTTTTTTAAATAAAAAAAGAAGCTCTAGATGGTCCCCATTTCTCCAAGAGACACTGAAAGAAAACCATCTTTTCAGGTGCTTTACATGAAATTGAACGAAGAATTAGTTTCATCAATGTCAAGTAAAACTTTTTTTGGCTGCGTTGGGTCTTCGTTGTTGCAGAGAGCAGGGGCTACTCTTCGTTGTGGTGCACAGGCTTCTCATTGCAATGGCTTCTCTTGTTGCAGAGCACAGGCTCTAGGGCACGCGGGCTTCAGTAGTTGTGGCTCACGGGCTTAGTTGCTCTGCAGCATATGGGATCTTCCCCAAGCAGGGATCAAACCTGTGTCCCTGCATTGGCAGGCAGATTTTTAACCACTGCACCACCAAGAAAGTCCCAAATGTCAAGTAAATTGAGAGAGCACCATCAGGATTTGAATGGTTCAGTACAGAACACCCAAGTAGATGGTGGGTGAAAAGTTCTGGCTTTGATATGTTAAATGTGAGATACTTACTAGGATCCAAATAGTGATGTCAGCTAGACAGTGGATATACTAGTCTGGAGTTCAGGGACAAAGTTAGGCTGCAAATGACATATCTGAGAGTTATCAGCCTGCTTTAGTATTTAAAGACAAACAACTAAACTGGATTACCTACCAAAAAAATGTAAATAGAAAAGAGGGCCTGGGGCCAAGATCCAGCCTGAGTGGGAGTTAGGGCAAGTATAGAAGCCAGCAAAGTAGACTAAGAAGGAATATCAGAGATATGAGAGTAAAGTCAAGAGGAATTAATTTCCCAGAAGCAAAGAGAAAAGGGGATATTGCAGAATATGGAAAAGAACAAAAAAACAATGAATAATGCCGCATGTGGAAATTTTTTTTGAATGTTAT